GATTATGATGTCATCACTTTCAAACTCAACTTGTTCTTTCTGATCTTTTGAGTTTACTGTGCTTCTGTCTTTATAAAGTTCAACCTCATTGAAAGTTGCATGTTTACTTCTGACTACTTTTCTGCTTTCAAAGTCCCAAAGCCTGTAGCCCATACTATCAGAGCCATATCCAATGAAGGTGTATTTCTTGGCTTTTGCATCCAACTTGTCACCGTCTTTCTTCAAGTCATAGGCACTGCATCCGAACACCTTCAAATGCTCATACTTGATTGCTTTACCTTTCCACTCTTCCTCTGGAATCTTGAAGCCCAACGGTACTGATATTCCTCGGTTGATAAGATAAGTTGCAGTGTTAACTGCATCAGCCCAGAACGTCTTTGGAAGCCCAGCATTAAGCCTCATACTCCTGGCCCTCTCATTCAAAGTTATGTTCATTCTTTCTGCCACTCCATTCTGCTGAGGAGTGCCTGGAACCGTCTTTATCATCCGAATGCCATGTTCAGCACAATAATCAGTGAACTTTGTGCTAATGTATTCCCCACCGTTATCCGACTTCAAGCACTTTACTTTTAGGTTAGTTTCCAATTCAACAGCGGTTTTCCATTTCTTAAAAGTGTTGAAGACATCAAACTTATTTTAAAAAAAATAAACCCATACCTTGCGTGTTGAATCATCGATGAAGATCACATAGTAGTTCGATCCTCCTACGGAAGAAACTGATGTTGGTCCATAAACATCTGTGTGAACAAACTCTAGTTTCTGAGCTTTTGGTGTCTGACCCGTCTTCGCAAAGGATACCTTCTTTTTCTTGCCAAGCACACAGGGTTCATAGAATTCAGAACCCACCCTTTTTAAATCTCGGAGCTTGCCTCTGGCAACGAGCATCTTCATTCCTTTTTCACTCATGTGGCCAAGTCGTTGATGCCACAATCTGGATGGTTTCATCCCACTGGTCACTGCATTCACCTCACTGTCGGGAACATCGACCATATATAAGGTGCCTCGCTTTTTACCTTTGGCGATTACAAGGTTTTCTTTGACAACCTTCCATTGTCCTTCACCAAAAATGACTTTGAATCACTGGTCATCCAACTGCCTAGTAGAAATCAATATTTTCTTAAGGCTTGGAATGACTCGAACGTCCTTCAATGTCCAAGTGGTACCCAATGAAGTCTTTATGTTTATGTCACCTATTCCTGTGATGTCAAGAGTGCGATGGTCAGCCAAACGAACTTTACCAAAATTACCTGTTCATAGATTCTTCATCATCTTCGTGCTGAAAGTAGCATGAAATGATGCACCAGAATCCAAGATCCACGACTCTGCTGAATTCTCAACACAACAGATAAGGGCATCGTCTGAATCATCAGTTGCTGCGTTCACCTCTCTGTTTCCATCTGATTGTTTAGGGCATTGATTTCTGAAGTGCCCTGTTTCTTTGCACTTCCAACATTGGATGTCTTTTCTTGGTTTTGAGTGGCTCCTCTTTCTTGACTTTGATCTACCTCTGCCATTACCCCTTTCTGTCTTTCTACCTCTCCCTTCAGTGCTTAGCAAAGCACTGGATGATTCTCCAGAACTCCGTCTCCTTATGTCCTCTCCTAGGATGAAGTCACGAATGCCCTCAAAGGTGAGTTTAGAGGTTCCAACTGAACCACTAATGGCAGTGACAGTTCCTGACCAACTTTCCGRTAACGAGGATAACAAAAGCAAAGCTTGGACTTCATCTTCAAACTTAATATCAACAGATAACAAGCGCGATATAATGGTATTGAAACCATTAATGTGTGAGGTAACAGACATACCTTCTTTCATTTTGGTATTTACTAACTGTCTTATCAGAAAGACTTTGTTAAAAGCAGAAGGTTTCTCATACATGTTTGACAAAGCTTTCATCAATCCACATGCAGTAGTCTCCTTCACAATGTTAAAAGGCCACATTCTTGGCCAGTGTAAATCTGATAACAGCCAAGGCTTTTCTGTCTAGAGCAGCCCATTTATTGTCTTCCATCTCTACGGGTTTTATTCCTGTCAAGGCTTGATCCAAGTCTTTCTGACACAGAAGATCCTCGATTTGCATCTTCCACCAACCAAAATCTTGTCCATCAAACTTCTCAATTCTGGTTTTTCCGTCCTCAGCCATTATCCCAAACTTTTAGCAACGGTGGCAGCAGCAAACAGCAGCGACGGTAGACTATGGCTAGGGTTTCAGTGATTGAGTGTAACAGATCAAGAACCTAAAGCTCTGATACCAGTTGTTAGGACAAACGTTACACACGCAATACGCACAACCCCACGCACAACCCAAAAACAAGAGAAGAACACAAGAATTTACGTGGTTCACACGATCAGATTGATCGTGCTAGTCCATAGAGGGCAACTAGGTTTTTCTTTATTTAGGTGCTACAAATGTTTACAAATACAATGAGATTAATATATATAGACAAACATAATTAGGGTTATCTCCTAATCAAGGAAACTAGGGTAGAGACTAGGGCCGACTCCTTTTGGGCTAGGGCCGGCTCCTTACTTTATGCCTCCTCCCTTTTGTCTAACTTAGTAGACCGAAGCCTACATTCCAACAGCATGGAAAGAACCTGAGCCGATTAGAATTACAATTGACTAATCTTTAACTAGAAATAGAAAACAATAATTGACTACTCCCTTAACTTGAGGAAAGGATGGCTTGTAAACCATAAACTAAGCAACACATGATGCAATGATGAATCTCTTAGCAAACACCAATCTCTAATTAAAATCACGGAGTTCAGAAGGTGTATGATCAACATTAATTCATTGTTATGTGCCACACCAAATATGGTATTGGATTCGACCACCAATGGATGATGCTCTTTCACTTCCTATTTCCATAACTTATGGTATTGGATCCGACCACCAACAGATGATGCTCTTTCACTTCCTATTTCCATAACCTTAGGCAGGCTGAGATTGGAATGATGGCTCCATGATACACGTACTGTTTTGTGGTTCTGCAGTCGCCATAACTCCAGGACCGTAAGGACCTTAGAGGTTCTTGTGCCAATTGCTCTTGTATTTGAAGTCTATTTCAAGCTTTTATCCCCATTGTACATAAAAATGTACACAGAAAGATGACTTTATCAAGTACCAAAATACATTAAGCTATTAGCTATATCCAAAATTATATTCCAAACACTCCTATGGAGAGTCATGTACTTGCTTGTTGCTTCTAAACCAATCTAGTCCTTTTACGATTTGACATGCAAGCCTATTTCTCACCTACCACATCTGCTTATGCACCAACCCATATAAACCACTCGGCTTTTTTTGGAATTGAGAGAATATCCAAAATGAAAAGGTACCCTGAAATAAGTAAGTGTTCTGATGGAACCTCCTCTTTTACCGTAGATGACCAAGATTTCGTGATCCGCTGCAGAACTTATTACAAGAGAGCTCGGATAGCAATACCTATGTCATTTCTCATTTCCACCATCCTTGTCTTTTTTTCAGAAGAAAAATAATGATCCTAGCCATCCTCATATGACAGCACACCAACTTAACATTGCAGATAAGTTACATTATCCTTTGTACAAATCAAACTTCATGACAGAACTCGGATCATGAAATACTAACATTAGTCCTCAAACAAGTTTAAAAGAGCCTGGAACAGAAAACATATAAGATAAGTAGAAATGAGAAGTTACCTCTTTCAAGCTCGAGATGCCATACCCACTGTAAGAAGATGAAAGCAAAAACTGGACCAGTGACCATTTTTCTTTGTCTAAAGCAATTGCCAGAGGTTCCAAATATCTGCACAAAAATTACTTAAGACTTGCAAACTTGTTGAGATTCATGAGAAATCAACTTAATGAAATGCATGCCCGAAGATAGGTTTTTAATCAGTAAATACTCATCTGAATTTGAAAGTAGAAGATGCCCCACCTTTCCGTTTTTTATTATTGTCAAGAACTAAAAAAAAAGAACGTAACTACCATATGAGCAGCAATCCATAAATTCGATTATGTTTGATTTTATGCCATTTCCTTCTATTCTTCCATGAGGTACTCTATATAATCAGGTTTTCCCCCATGAAAAAATAAGGCATTACAAACCTAATCTCTATATGTTACTAAGAACCTATGCTTTTAACTACAAAGACTCTACTCATTCTAAAATAACCTCAACGGCAGAAAAGCTGACATTGGAAGGCACTAGGCAACCAGTAGTAGTCAACCGCCCATATCATGTTGCCTCTTGCCACCACCACTTGCCTCTCCCCACTCAACCCCTACTATTGGCCAGGCCTTCAGAAAAAAGGACACCTATGCCTTGGAAGCATTTTCTTAAATGCAAGTGGATGTTCACCATCAAACTTTCTGCACACGAAAATCACAACGGTAACATAACCCCTATGAACTTTTCAACTGTAATTTTTTGTCAGCGATTCTTCAGAACTCAGTGCTACCTTTGGTCCTGAAGTCTGCAGTCTTTCCATGTCTTCTTGACTTATAACTCCTGTCCTAATAAATGGTATATTTGGTTTATATAATTTACTCTTATTCAGTCTTATTGCATTCTCCAACAATGCAAGCAACCTTCATGGCCTTGTTCAACCCAACGAGGGCTAATAGTTACACATCAGCCTAATTTCTAGTGAAAGTCCATTGACGAACCAACTAACATAGACCTCTTGTGAAATTCCCTTAGTGGCGCTGCCATAGACAAATTTCTTTTGTATTCCAACACCATCGCATCCCTGCTTGACTTCTAGAGACTGTTTGCATGAACTTCCCTCCCCTAAGGTGCGAAAGTGTAACAACAGAAGATTCTTCAATTCTTCCCAAAAGAAATCACAGCTATCTCTATCTTTTCTTCATTGGATAACCAATTCGACAAGAAATCGGCCCAGAATACAAGTACCGACGGTCCAATCCGTTGAAAACTGGCATTTTTAATAGCCACCCTTTATATCCAGAGATGATCCAATTTTTAACAATCACTTTTCATTTCAAGCTCACTGTTCACCTTTAACTGAATTTTCCTCACTGCTCATGGCTCTTCCTGCCGCTTATTCTTGCAATCGAATCAAGGTGTTTAGTTGATGTGACAGTATTCCCATTCTCATCTATCCCCACAAATCTTGCCTCCCTTTCATCCACTTAAGAAGCTACAGACCTCAACATCTCTCATGAACAAAGCTCTTATACCAATTAATGCAATTGGATAGTAAATGGCAACCAAAGAAGACCCCTGTCAAATGATTGTTATTACAAATTCCACTTTCTAGAGGTGGAAACTCTCTCAGCATATTTCACAATCATCAATGTCCCCTATTCTGCCCTTGGCTCCTTATCTATACCCCTTCAGCTCACACTCCCTAACTACCAAATTGTTACGATCTGTTATTACAACCGACAAACTCCTTAATCCCTAGTAAGGACTAAACTATCCTTTAACTGCCTTCCACTTCCTTCTTCTAGAGTAGGTAAATGCATATTGTAACACCCTCATTAGTTAGAACCCTCTTGTCGATCCTTTTGAGTAGTCTTTGTATGAAAATTTATATAACTATATGTGGAAAGTCGGAAGTCTCTAGCTTATCTGGAAATCCTTAATTTTAGGATAACTAGTTATGCATCTCGAAGTTGTTAGAAGTGATAGGATTGTTTTTATCTTTCCTTGAATAAAGGCTAGTTTGCTAAGCTCTAGCTATAAATAAGAGGTTGTGTACTCTGTCTTTTAAGCTCTTCAATTCAATAAAGAAACCAAAACTCTTTGGATCATAAATTCTAAATGGTATCAGAGCATATCTGATCCATCTCCCCTCTTCAAGTCATCCAAAAAGCTTGATGACCAAATACATCAACACTACAATAGCTAGTGAGGCAAAGAGTGGCACCTCTTCTTCAATAAACCAATCATCTACACTCACACCCACACTCTTAGAAAGTGGGATCATTCAAATTACCAGACAAAAACTCACAGGCCACAATCTTATCCAATGGTCATACTCTGTAATGATTTTTGTAAGCGGGAAAGGGAAAGAAGATTACTTGACAGGATCAGCACGACCACTTGCAGAAGACAATCCAGAATTTCGAAAATGGAAGACGAAGAAAAATACGGTAATGTCTTGGCTCCTAAACTCAATGACTAATGAATCGGGTGAGAACTTCATGTACTACAAGACCGCCAAAGAGATATGGGAAGAAGCTCGAGACACATACTCCAACAAAGGCAACGCCTCGAAAATATTTCAAATAGGAGTATTACATGATGTACGTCAAGAACGATCGGTCACCGACTACAACAACTAACTGAGTTGCTACTGGCAGTAGTTGGATATGTTGGACGATGTTACATGGAAGTGTGCTTATGATAGGAATCTATAAAAAGGAATCCAAGAAAACGAAAAGATCTATAAGTTTCTACTTGGTTTAAACCAGAACCTTGATGAAGTTCAAGGGAGAATTCTAGGCTGTAAACAGTTGCCTAGTGTTCAAGAAGCCTTCTCGGAAATCCGTCAAGAAGAAACCAGGAGGAAAGTTATGTTGGGGTCTTTTGGCACTCAACCAAAAACTAAAGGTTCGGCTTTAGAAGCAAAGAGGCAGACCTCGAGTGTATATCGAGAGAATTACAGTCCAAGACAATCACAGGTAAACCCATGCAGCAATGATTCTCTAAACAATGGTTAAAGGTCAGGCAACCAGCCTTGGTGTGACCACTTCAAGATCCTAGGTCATACGAAAGAGATATGTTGGAAACTACATGGGAAACCTCAAACTAGACAGCCCATCAGATCCTTGGGTCATGTAGCAGAAACTGAAAACAACCCATTCAATGAAGAGCAAATGGAAGCACTGCAAAGGATACTAGGATGCTTCCATTCACTTAGCTATTGGAGGGAATAACACTGTTGTTGTGGCTCAAAATGATTGCATGCCTACTGCCCAAAATGCAAGGTTAAATACATGTGACTATATCGTCGACTCAGGGGGCACTGATCGTATGACGGGGAACATCAATGTTTTCGATGAACCCTAACCCAACACCAACGGAGCCACCGTCCGAACAGCTGATGGTATGCTATCATATGTGAAGGGTATAGCTTCGGTTGTTATTTCAAAGGATATTACTCTTAATTCAGTCCTTTATGTTCCTAACCTTACCTATAATATGGTGTCAATCATCAAAACCCATGAAAGATCTGAAGTGTATTACTAGATTGTCTCCAACTTTGTGTGAATTTCAAGACTCGAATTCGGGAGGACGATTGGCAGTGCTAAAGTGTGTGGAAACCTTTTTTTCCTAAGACTGAACTCATGGTAAAACCATCAAGAAACTCGATTAGTGCTATTTCAGATTCCAGTTGAACCAAAGAAAGTCTTCATCGTTGGTATCATAGATTAGGTCATCCAGACTTCATGTATACTTGAAACGTCTATTTCCGGATTTGATCAATAAAAGATTAGTTCCATTTCAATGTGAAATTTATCAGTTGTCAAAACATACTCACAAGCTCAACCATATAAAGCATCCTATCCGTTCCACTTAATTCACAGTGATGCGTGGAGACCACCCAGAATTACTATAGCTAGATGGTTCATCACCTTCATTGATGATCACACTAGTCACTTAGGTCTACCTTATGAAAGAAAAATCAAAAGTGCAACACATATTCCATGTCTTCCATAAAATGATTGAAAATCAATATCAAACTAATATCCAAGTCTTGAAAACTAATAATGGAACCAATTTTTTCGAGTCAAACCTAGCGTTATATCTCCATGAAACTAGAATTATACATCTAAGTTCATGTGTTGGTATCCTGCAACAAAACGGGGTTGCCGAGAGAAAGAGCAGGCATATCCTCGAAGTCGCACGCTCCCTTCTATTCACCACCAATATGCCGTCTCTATTCTGGGGCAATGCTATCCTATCAGCCACCTATCTAATTAATCGCATGCCATCTAGGGTTCTTAGGTTTCAAACACCTCACCAAACTCTCATGCCCACTTATCCCCATATCACGTTCTTATCAAATGTTCTCTCAAAGTCTTCGGATGCACATCCTTCATTCATATTTTGTCACAAAACCGTAGTAAACTTGACCTTAATTCTCTCAAGTGTATCTTTCTAGGTTATTCCAACAACCAAAGTGGTTATAAATGTTATTCTCCTGTCACAAAGGTCTACAACACAATGGATGTTACGTTCTTTGAAGACCAACCGTTTTATCCCAAATTAGTTATTCAGGGGGAGAAGGTTCACATGAATATCATATCTAGGATTAAACTCCAAATCACCCACAATCAGTTGCCCCAAATCAATTTGTTTCTCAGTCTATGATACATAGCTCACCTACTATTGTTCATTGTTTTCCTCCGGCTTCCGTTGAACCGAGCCCTAACTACAGTCCCATCTGAACCAAATCATAGCCCACTTCAATCGGTTACTAAATTACCAAATCATGAAGTAATGAAAGAAGTGTCTGTGTATTCTAGATGACCCAAAGTCAGAGATAACGAAGAGAAAAACACACACCATTGTCATGAGGGTGATCCAAGCCTCGAGCCAAATTGGAATCTCACAAAGGTACGAGTTCTCATATACCTGAATGTAATCCTTCGAAAATTGATAAGGTTAATGATGAACATGATGACCTTAATGTTCCTATAGCATTAAGGAAAGGAAAATGATCATGCACAACATATCTAATCAGTGATTTTATGACACACCAAGGTTTATCTACCAATCATAAAGCATTTGCAAGTTCCCTAGACTCCATACAAATTCCAAGGTGTATACAAAAAGCTCTACAACATCCAGAATGGAAGGCAGCAGCTAATGAAGAAATGAATGCCCTCTTGAAAAATAACACCGGGTAATATTCAAACTTACTGGTTGGAAAACAAACAGTTAGGTGTAAATGGGTTTTCACTGTAAAGTACAATGTTGATAGAACCATTAATCGATTCAAAGCTAGACTAGTGGCAAAAAAAATTACACAAGCACATGGAGTTGACTATGGGGAAACATTCACACCGGTTGCAAAGTTGAATTCTATAAGGGTATTATTCTCTCTTGCAGCAAACGTAGATTGGCTACTACATCAACTCGATATAGAAAATGCCTTCCTTAATGGGGAGCTAGAGGAAGAAGTATACATGGATGTGCTGCCAGGAATTGTTACAAGAGAATCCTTTGGAAAGGTTTGTAGGCTGAAAAAGTCACTCTACGGGCTAAAACAGTCACCTAGAACTTGGTTTGAAAGGCTAACTCGAGTAGTGAAACAACATGGATTTGTCCAATGTCAAACCGATCACATAATGTTCATTAAGAGTTCAACAACAGGGAAGAAAGCCATCATGATTATGTATGTAGATGACTTAATTTTGATAGGTGATTATGTGGAAGAGCTCAAACATCTCAAGATATGCTTGCAGAGGAGTTTGAAGTAAAGACCTAGAGAAACTCAAATACTTTCTTGGAATGGAGGTTGCAAGATCCCACAAGGGAATCTTCATAACACAAAGAAAGTATACCATTGACCTTCTAAAAAAACAGGAATGTTAGGTTGCAAGCCAGTACCTACGGATCCACAAGGAAAATATCAAATAAAATATGGCAAGTTAACTGATAAGGGAAGGTACCAAACATTGGTTGGGAAACTGATTTACCTGTGACACATACCAGGCCTACCAACAGAAGATCATCAAGTAGTGGTTCGAATTCTTCAATACCTGAAACAAAACCCTGGAAGGGGACTTCTTTTGGCAAGACAAAGGACCAGTAAGTAAAGGTGTTCAAGGGGCAGATAACGAACTAATCAGAGATCTACTACAGGCTACTATTCCTACGTGTGGGGAAATCTAGTAACCTGGAGAAGCAAAAAACAGGTTGTGATAGCCGGAAGCAGTGCTGAAGCAGAATTTAGAGCTATGTGTCATGGAATCTGTGAAGGGATACAGCTAAAAGGACTCTTGACAGAGCTTGATGTAACAACCAATGGTCTAAAAACTCTACCTTGTGACAACAAAGCTGCAATTGATATTGCAGGGAATCCGGTGCACCATGAACGAACCAAACATGTAGAACTTGACTGCTACTTCATTAAAGAAAACTCAGACAAGGGAGAAGTTCAGTTAAAATTTGTTCCATCAAAGCAACAGACAGCAGATATCCTAACAAAGATCCTACCAAGACGTGTACGAAGAGCTACGTCCAAGCTGAGTATGATTGACATCCATAGCCCAGCTTGAGGGAAGTGTGGAGAGTTGGAAGTCTCTAGCTTATCTGGAAATCCTTAATTTTAGGATAACAAGTTAAGCATCTCGAAGTTGTTGAGAGTGATAGGATTGTTTTTATCTGGAAGGCTAGTTTGTTAGGCTCTATCTATAAATAAGAGGTTGTTGTTTCCTCTTGTTTTTTAAGCTCTTCAATTCAATAAAGAAACCAAAAATCCTTGGATCATAAATTCTATAATATAAGGTATTTTAGGTCTTGTATTTGGTTATGCAATCCAGGGGTCAAAATCGAAGTTTTTATAGAAAACAGGGCCTCAGGCGACTAGCCACGTGACCTAGGTTACGACTATGGTCACGTGAACCATTGGATCATTGGACAAAAGTAGCGGGCAACTAGCCATGCGAAGTCGCAGGCGACTAGCTAGGCGACTTAAGTCACGGGCTAGGTTGCGGCATTTGTTCAGGTCGCATTTAGGGCCAATTTTGTTAGGGTTCTCGTTTATATCACCTACCTTCTTCTCTCTTCTTAAATTTACGTGTGGGAGCTTTCATACCTCTGCATTTAAGAGGGTTTGGAAGCCATAAAGTCAAGAAATCAAGCTTGGATCAAAATTAAAGTTCTCCTCCACATCTAAGATTCTTGGTTTTCTAGGTTTAGTCTAGAAACCACCAAGGTGAGTTCATCCTACTTTACTTCTCTATAAACATGTTAAACCTTCCTTTTCTTACACATTTACAAGTTGTTTCATGATTATTACGTCAAGTATAAGTATTGGATGATTTTGGGGACTTTGACCTAGATGACAAAATGGATTATTGTAGATGAACTCCTCGGTTCTAGAGGATTTGTTCCAACTTTTGGAGGACTTGACCTCCAATATAAGATTATTCACTTACTCCATACTATAAATGAGTTATAACACAAATAAGGATTTCATCACCTATTTGGGGGTTTTAAATCAAATGCATAAATCTTACGTTGCTTTGAGAAATCTCCTGGGCAATACATATTTAAATATTTGGATAAACATGGTCATTGTAAGTAACCATTAAACATGGTCATTGTAAGTAACCATTGTACATAATGTGGGAGAATTCCGTGTAATCATTGGGTTTATTATATTCCAAGCTTCGTGTTTGTGGTACTACTACCCTTATGCATGAGGGTTGTAGATTTGGTGTTATTAAATAGGATATATTTATTCCTATCTTGAAATACTAGTAAGTGGACACGACCGAATGGGAGCCTTGAGGTGAGACTTAGCTAGCTAATGGCAGGCACTAAGATTCATTAATCCTTGAGGTGATACTCTTCCTAGTAGACACTAAAAGTATTTGAGCACTTGAGGTGACGCCATATTGTGTGTGCACTAAAGTCATTAATCTGAGGTGTAAACCCGACGAACATTGATACATGGCAATACTCTTGTGTTCCTGCCACATCCAATTGAATCGGGTCTCCCCGTCATCGAAAGATGTTATGTATACAAATTGTCAGGTTTGACCACTTTCAGAAGATTATTCCCATACGAGTAAATGTTCCATTTCCGGTTATTATCTTTTGGTTTGCATTTTTCTAAATGTTGGTTTATTGTGTAAATAATTTGTTTCGACTCACTAGGCATAAGCCTAACACTTTTCTAATGGCATGTATATCAGGTCCATCGGTGGCGGATCTAAGGCTCTTTGAGATGGCATCGGTGCGGTTTATAAGCATCCGCATATCATCATCTTTGGGACTGCCTTGCGAGGCAATGTTGGACTATTGAGGATTAGTGACACCGGATTGGAATCTAGTTCAATCTAGAATTAGATTAGCAGGTTGTTAACTTTAATCCTACTCTTGTTAATTCATGGTGGTCCTTACTTCCCCTTTATGGGTTTAAGTTCTGCATTTATTTATGGAAGTTCAAAGCTTTTGTAAGTCGTAATTTTATGAATTTTAAGGGTGTTACACACATCCCTTGCATCATAGTACCCTACAGTCAATTTCATATTTCCAGCAACCTAATCTACAACCAAGAAACCAGATCTCCTGCCATCTCCTTCTTCAATGGATAAGCCCATTCATTTGTGGCCCTGATCTTAATAAAGTATCCCTAGGCCTCATCTGGCCTTAAGATACCTTAGAACACAAAATCTTGCATTCCAATGACCTATGTAAGAACTAAGAAGCGAATATGAACTAGCTATAGACACTAATTTGAGTCTCTGATTCATTATTGAAACCGGTAGGCAAATTCTTTTACATAACAATTCAACAAATTTTTATTTAACGAGTATATATACTTACTTTGTAGCCAAAAACCCATCTGTCAATCCGCCAATAAAAACGACTTGTTGTTTATAATCCCCAGTTTTAAATGCAACCTGCATCGGATGTAAAACATATTGACTTCCATGTTCAATAGTTAAATCAAAGGATCAACATGAAAAATTGCAAAAAGTAAACTAAAAGTGAATAGTTTCTGTAAAATAATATTCCACCAGCAAGTAGAAGGTTCACATAATACCTCATTTAAAATTTAAATAGTCACATTCAATATCTCAACCTTAAAGGTGGCCAGAAAGATACAAAGTGAGATATTCTTAACAGTCCAGCAAACTAACGGAAAACTCAATACTACTAGTAACTAATTACTATAATTTGTGGCCCTTATTGTCTACTAAATTCTTTGTGGGTTTCTAGTATATACTAAAAAAATTGAGCCTTTTTTATCCACCACATTTTCTTGGACTACTTCTATATGCAAATTAAAAACTTTGGGCCCTTGGTAGATGCCCGCTTCGCCCCACCCCCCGAGGGGACCACCCTGAAATCTGAATAGAGGGATAATGACACACGATTATCGCAATTGCAACCACATCAAAAATTTTCCTCTAATAATAAGCTAGTGGAAAATTAAAATGCTTGGGAACATTCATTTAAGTACTATCTACCTCATTTGATACCCAATCTCATGGTAAAACCCAATGCCTCGTTTGTCAAATCATAATCCAGCAGCAGTCATCAGCTTTCACTTATTCAATGTCTTTCATTGCTTGCTCTAAGTGAAAACTTTTATTCTAAAGTTTCACAAAAAATGCACAATTAACCAAGACAAGTAGACTTCTCAGTCGCTCATTCTAATGGTATATAAGGACAATGGTCACTCGATGTTGGAACACGACATTAACAAATTAAGGTTCTTCAGAAAGTAGTTGTACGTTTCCATCTTGAAGTAGATTGATATTAAAAATGATAGGTTGAATTACAAGTGCACCAGAAAATTGAGTAGAAGACAACATAAATCTAATTCTCTATTTGTATATGCTGCCAGCATAAGCATCAACTCATGGCAGGGACATAATTTTTCTCAAGCAGGGAAACGACAAAATAAATATTGATATCACTTGGCATTGGTCTAATTTTTAGGATGCATAGATGAAGATCGGGTTTTCAGAACATGCAAGTAAAAATATGATGCAACTGTATGGAATTCCAATCATTGCATACATTCTCCCATGAATCATCAAACCTATAGTTCTCAAACAATATCTTCACACAAGATCAAGACTCCTACATATCTGCACAAATTGTAGTTGTAATGATCAGAAAACTTGTTTTTCAGCAAGATGGCACTCCTATAATTACTATGTGTTTACCTCTTAATAGTTCCAATAAGAGGCAACCTCTGAATCGTTAAGAGGAATCTTGTTTGGCAAAAAAAAAGTCTGCCTGTTAATGGTTCTAAAACCCTTTGAATGATTTTGTATCCTGGTGCTCCCTTAACCATTAAGAGCCCAATTTCATCGTACACAATTATCAAACGATTATATTTCATTTTGCATTATATCATGAGAGCCTCTTATTCATTCTGACCACTTAATCATTCTGCATCAAACCATTCAGCAATTGCCAAATGGCCCCTAAATAACATTATAAAATAAGATTTTCCAGCACCAAGAAGAACTTTCAACCTAATATTCCATTCATAAAAGAACTTGCTTACAAAAATGTAATGGTTTCAGTATCATTGCATCACTCTAAACATGTAGGTTAACCAACCAAATAATAACAACAGAAAGTACTTCCTATCACATAAGGATGCTATAACAATAACAGCACACAATATTTTGCACCAATATTATTCAAGTTCAGTCAACAACACATATTTCCAAATCTCAAAAACCCCAAAGAAACGAAATTTAAATTAAAGAATACTAACCACAGTTCCGATCCTAACAACTCAAATTGATTAATATAGTGGTGACTTTTAATTTAATTCGCCCAGACCTGAGCAGGCTTAGAGCCGTACTTGAACATGACTCCACGGAACTGATTCTTCCGATTGATTGGGCCAACAGTGTCACCGCCGCCGTTCCCGACGCCGGCAACAGCGGATTTGTTAGCCATTGTATTACTGTTTGACTTGCGACCACGTACAATACCGGAAAACCAAGATGATGATCCTGATGTTGAAGAAGATGCAAGAGGAGACGGAGATGGGGTGCTGGGATTCATATTAACATCGATGTTCCATCCATAGTTCACCTGGTTTAATAAATAAATTCTAGGGCTCTCAAATTTAACTCGATGACAGTTATACAGAAGACAGAACTTATGTGGGTATGTATGAAAGTCGAGCTTTAGCAACCGGGATATCTAGCCGTCAAACGTAATTTAAAATGGTGAAATGAACTATATAATTTAAAATGGTGAAATGAACTATGTAATTTGCAATCAAAATAAACCAAACGTATGTATATGAACTATGTAATTTGAAATCAAAATAAACCAAACCTATCTATATATTACTAAAAGAGTATTTGTGTAATGCAATGAGATACATCCTTATTTTAATGTTTTAATTTATTTTTTGTCTTTATTAACATAATACGATTTATATGGTTTTGAGAAAGATAAATAGTAATATCTCATACTCCATATTTGTATATAACATATATTTTATATATAAAAAAATATAAATTACATCACATAGGACCCCATAGTACAAGGATTGAATATCTACAGAATTTACAATTGAGAAATTTCCAAAAGAATATCCATGTACTACACATTAATATCAACATGTATCTTCAAAATATTGGAATTGCCACAATATCGCGAATTAGTGTGTAAACTTTAGATTGTTTAGATAGTGTGTAAACTTTAGATTCTATTTATTTAACATCAAATCTTTTCTTTATTTGCTAAGAATTAGTGTGTAAACTTTAGATTGTTTAGATAGGTTTTATTAACCTTATCTTTTCGCAAACAATCTTGTAAAATCTGTATTGATCCTTCTTTATCAATATATATTTTAAATTTGAAAAGTTTCTGTGTTTGTATTCATCCTCCCTTTCTACAAAATTGTTGTACACATCTTGTAGACCTTAACGGGACCAACAAGTGGTAACAAAGCAGTGTTTTATCTTCTCTAGTTGTTTAGTTATTTTCTGCATTATATTATATCCTTCTTTATATAATTTTCTTGCTTTTAAAATGGATTTACAAAACACAAACACACACTTTCAAGATAATGGCTCTCTTGCCAAACTTCCCCGATTTATCCGAGACAACTTTAGTATTTGGAAGAATCGGATGTCCCTCTTTCTGGAAGGTCTGGATCATGAAATTCCACACTATATAGAAAATGGACCATATGTACCATTTGCAATTTCTCCAGCTGTCCTGAAATAGCTACAACTGCTGCCATTCCTGAACAACAGATTCCAAAACTCTCTCACCAATGGAGTGATGAAGACAAGAAGAAAATAACTATAGACATTCGTGCTAGGTCTATAATAGTTATGTCTCTTCCTGATGACGTTTATCACACTGTGATGAAACTCAGAACCTCTAAATCCATGTGGGACACTTTATGTGTTCAATATGAAGGAACCTCTTAGGTTCAAGAATCAAGGAAGATCAACTTAGTAAGGCAGYATRAAAGCTTTCTCTGTGGAAAGACTAAGACATTGTCTGAAGTACGTCAACATTTTAATTGTCTTCTTATTGATCTTAGGACTGTAGGTAGGGAATATTCTAATTCTGAAACTTTAACTAAGTTTCTAGAATGTCTTCCTGAATCGTAGGACACTTATTCCATGTGTCGCAAGATGTCTAATGACATGTTCTCTCTTTCTCTTTCTACTCTCTACGGGATCTTGTTTAATCATGAGCAATCTCGTCAGCTGAAAAGGAACCTGATCAAATATTCCAGAGAAATGAAAAGCTCTCATTTAGCTTTGATCTATGAAGAAGCTTCAACTGAAACCCCTTCTTCTTCTTTTTCTTCTTCTCTTCCTCCTCTTGTTATTACAAAGTTAGATTCTACTAACTCTGAGGATGTATCAGATTCTAATCTTACAGATTTTGATAACTCCCTGACATTATTGACTAAATCTTTTAGGAGATTCGCCAACAAAAGTAACTTCCGCAGATCTCCTTCGCTGACCTTAAAGGAAAAGCCAAAGTCTGATAAAATAGACAAGGCTTTAGCGATCTGCTACAACTGCGACGCCATCTTACAAAATCCCATCCTCCTTCCGGTCCAGGGATGATAAATACCTGAAGCTGAAGAAGAAGTACAAGAAGATGAAGAATCACCAGCGAAAGGCCAAGGGCCTTATCGCTGAAGAGCATGATTAGGCTGATTCATCTGATGAATCATCATCTGATGAGGAAGATATGGCCTATCTCTGCTTAATGGCCAAGGATGTCAAAGAAGATGCTTCAGAGACACCTACTTCAAATGATCCCTCATCCTCTTCTCTTGCTCACGTATGTATCCTGAATGAACCCTCTTCTTCTTCTTCTTCTTCTTCTTCTTCTTCTTCTAGCCTTTAATGGCAAATCTAAAGCAGAAATGGTTAATCTTGATCTTCAAGAACAGTTGATGATTTGTCATTCTAAGATTAAAGAGATGACCAAGGTTAAAGAAAACCTAAAGGATCAGGTCATTGTAAACCAAGCTATCACTGTTGAATGCGAACAGGCTATCGTTGAGCATGAGCGAGCAATCGCTGAACTGAAGGCTGAGAAGGCTACCATTGAAGAATGGTGCAAAGCCTCTGTCAAAGCCTCTGAGATCATCAATACTCAGATCCCGGCCAAGATAAAGACTGGTCTAGGATTTTCCTATGATCAGGAAGAATGTGACAATGACAGGTGCATGCTCAAGTTTGGTACCTTTGTCTCTTCCATTCCTGACACTTCTTCCTCTTAGTCTTCTTTAACTGAAATTCATCTTGATGGAACTCCTTCGAGTTCAGGTTGCAAAGACGAAGGTAAATCCATTGTTATAGCACCTCTTCCTAAGAAATCTAACAAGTCAAATAGATCTAGGTCTATTCATTCAACTTGTAAATCGTCTTCCTCTCCAGGGACTAAGAAATCTGAATCCCCTCAGAAGTCTAAGTCTCAGCTCAAGGTGAATGCTTCACCTAAGAACTCCAAAGCCTCTAAACTTCCTCCAAGAACTAATGAGAAGGGAATCCTTGGAGCTATTCCCTCCTCTAATCTGATACTTCCTGGCCCTAAAGCTACCTTCAGCTATAGGAAGTGTAAACACTATGGTGAAAATACACACAATGCAGTAAGTGTCCTTTTGCCATCAAGGTTGGTCCACCAGCTAAGGGCAAGAAAATAGCTAAGGCTGAGAAATCAACCAAAGCGAAATCATCTACTAAAGTTGCAAAAGCATCCAAAGTGAAGAAAACCATTGGAGCCTCTTCCTCAGGCTCAATGAAGACATCATCTGCTGCTTCAGCATCAAATGTTGTAGTTCCATCACTGTAGTCTCTTCATCAGGATCAGTGAAGACTTCCACTAACTCTATCTCACTAGCATCAGAGGATGTTACTCTTTCCACTAAAACCTCTTCAGGTTTAGTGATGCCGTCTACTGACGTTGATTCTTCAACATCAGTGGATGATGCCTCTAATAGTGCTGGACCCCAATAGCTGGGTACCAATAGCATTTTTAAACTGTTCCCTTGTGCAGGATGTCAAAAGCATATGGTATATAGATAGTGGATACTCAAGGCATATGACTGGAGATAAATCCTTGCTTATCAACTACAAGGAAGAAAGAGGACCTTCTGTGACCTTTGGAGGAAATGGAAAAGGATATACCAGAGGTTTTGGTATATTAACTAATGGTGCAACCACGTTCAAACGAGTTGCATACGTTGAAGGACTGAAGCACACCCTCCTCAACATCAGTCAACTGTGTGACAAAGACTACATAGTAAAATTCTCTAACAATTCATGTTACGTCTACGACAAAGATGATAAGGTTGCCTTGATCGATTCTCGCTTAGAGAATGTCTATATCATAAATATGGATTCTTCTATCACTGAGAACAACTGTTTCTTCTCTAAATCCTCTTCAGATATCAACTAGCTATGGCACAAACGGATTTTCTCATCTTAACTTCAAGACACTCAGTGAGCTGTCTAGAAATGATCTTGTCACTGGTCTTCCTTAACACTCCTTTGCATAGGAATCTCTTTGCTCAGCGTATGAAAAAGAAAAACACACAAGAGCAAGCTTTAAATCAAAGCAAATCTCTTCAGTGACTGCGCCTCTTCAGCTACTGCACATGGATCTCTTTGGTCCAGTCAATGTGCAATCTATCGCTGGAAAGAAGTTTACACTCATTATTGTTGATGAGTATTCCAGGTACACTTGGGTCTTCTTTCTCAGATCCAAAGATGAGGCACTTGAAGACATCATTTCGTTCATCAAGAAAATAGAAGTACTTAACAACATCAAAGTATGATCTATTAGAAGTGACCATGGTACTAAATTCAAAAATAGTATAATGGACAACTTCTTTGAGAACAAGGGAATTTCTTACAACTTTTCTTTAGTGAGAACTTCTCAGTAAAATGGGGTCGCTGAAAGAAGAAATCAAACAATCATAGAGGCTGCTCGATCAATGCTCTACGAATCCCATCTCCCTACTCAATCCTGGGCTGATGCTGTCAACACCACTTGTTTCACTCAAAATCGGTCCCTGATCGTAAAGAAGTTCAAGAAGACATCTTATGAACTTTTCCATGGAAGAAAGCCTTCCATTAGCTTTCTACACATCTTTGGTTGCACTTGTTATATTCTCAAAAATTGTAACCAACTCGGAAAGTTCGACCCCAAAGCTGATGAAGGAATCTTTCTTGGATATTCTTCAGTATCCAAAGCCTTCAGAGTATTCAACAAATGAAGACAAACGATAGAAGAAACTATCCATGTCACTTTTGATGAATCTCAATCAGCTACTTCAAAAACCATCTTAAACGATGATGATGAATTAGAAAACTGGATGTTCTCTCACTATGGACAACCTGAAGCTTCCTTCAACGTTCCTCTTAACATTGAAGCCCCTAAAGTTGAAGATGATCCACTTATCATTCTAATTGCAGCTAGTCACTCTAACTTATCTTCTTTAGAGATCGTTGTTGTGCCCATTAGCTGTGTTCCTCGTTCTACTTCAAACACTAATCAATTAGTGAATGAAATGCCTTTAGCATCTGAACTTGTTTCAGTCGTTGCATCTGAGGCTCCTTTAGCAATTGTTCTTATTGCTGAAGACATTGCAGCTGAAGTCTCATCTTCTGCTTCTGAACTTCCATACTCAGATGATAATCCGCTACCAGCTCAGTGATGGACTAAAGACCATCCAATTCATCAAATTCTTGGTGATCCAGATGCAGGTATCAAGACTCGCCGTGGTCTAGGTAATATATGTCTCTTTGTCAACTTTCTTTCTTTATTTGAACCTAAGAAAATCAATGATGCTATCTCAGACCCTAGTTGGGTCCTTGCCATGCAAGAGGAGCTCATTGAGTTTGATAGGAACAAAGTCTGGTACCTTGTCCCACGTCCTTCTGACAAAACAGTGATAGGCACCAAGTGGGTCTATCGCAACAAGTTGGATGAAGAAGGTCTGGTAACCCGTAACAAGGCTCGACTTGTTGCTCAGGGTTATAGACAAGAAGAAGGGATCGACTATGACGGAACCTTCACACCAGTGGCTAGACTCGAAGCAATTCGACTCTTCCTAGCCTTTGCTACCCATAGAGACTTTAAAGTCTACCAAATGGATGTAAAAAGTGCTTTCCTTAATGGAAAACTTCAAGAGAAAGTTTATGTTGAACAACCTCTAGGGTTTCTTGACCCTAAGTATCCAAATCATGTCTATCGTTTGGATAAGGCACTTTATGGATTAAAACAGGCTCCTTGTGCTTGATATGATACCCTATCCTCATTTCTCATCTTTGAGAAATTTGTTCATAGAAAGATTGACCAAACCTTACTTCTTAGAAAAGTTAAAGGTCATATCATTCTAGTCCAAATTTATGTCGATGATATTATTTTTGTTTCCACTAATCCCTTTTTATGTTTTCGATTCGCTGATCGCATGAAGAAAAAATATCATATGAGTATGATGGGAGAACTACCCTATTTTCTAGGTCTCCAGATCAAGCAATCCAATAAAGGTATCTTTATCAGTCAAAGTAAGTATGTTCGTGACATGCTGAAGAAGTTTGATATATCCAATAGTTCATCTATGAAAACTCCAATGGCTCCTCCACTTTCTTTGAACAAGGATCCAAATGGAAATTCTGTAAACGTAACAGCTTATAAAAGAATGATCGGCTCCTTGTTGTATCTTACAACTTGTCGACTAGATATTATGTATTCTACTTGCTTATGTGCACAATATCAATCTAAACCTAAGGAATCCCATCTGATTGCCGTAAAACGCATCTTCAGATATCTTAAGGGAACTCCTAACTTGGGTCTCTGGTACCCTAAGGGTTCAKGTTTTGACYTAATAGGTTATTCGGATAGTGATTTTGCAGGTTGAAAAATTGATAGGAAAAGCACCACTAGAGGCTGTCAGCTTTTAGGTGGAAAGTTGGTGAGATGGACAAGTAAAAAGAAAAACTCAGTGTCCATATCAACCGCTGAAGCTGAATATGTAGCCGCTGGTAGTTGCTGTGCCCAAATTCTTTGGATGAAAAACTAGCAGATGGACTACAATCTTCAGTTTTCAAAAGTCCCTATCTATTGTGATAGCACCAGTGCTATTGCTATTGCTATTGCAAATAATCCTGTACTTCACTCCAACACCAAACATATAGAGATCCGATATCATTTTATCAGAGATCATGTTATGAATGGTGACATTGAACTTCATTTCGTTCCAACTGATTATCAGCTCGTTGACCTTTTCACCAAGCCTCTTGATGAGACAAGATTTAACATCTTGATCAGCGAACTGGGGATGCTAAATGCTGAAGAATAATCCTCTTCAACTATACCATCAATCAGTAAGTGAAATGATTTAGTGCTCTATCTCTGTCACTGAACTCTTGAGTAAATGTATCTATTCTCTCTAAGGTATGTTTACTTATTCCTTTTCTTAAAAACTTAAAACTATCACCGAAGCTTTTCTTCTTCAGTGATCAAATTGTTTTAAAAGTAAGTCTTAGGGATTCTTCTCTCTTATACTTATCTTATATATATATATATATATATATGTGTGATCACTGAATCTTTCTTACTTAGTGATTCAAAAAATTTTAATGTCAGTTCCAGTGATTCTCTTATCACTGACACTGAAGTCTTAAAACTATCACTGAAGTGTTTCTCTCTTCAGTGATAAAAAAGGTTTTTTTAAAAAGGTCTTTTCAGTGTTTCTTTTAACACTAAATGACTCTTCGTTTTCTTAAAAACCTTTTTGTTTTTAAAAGAAATAGTTAATGAACCGTTTTTATGACGATATTCCCTATTTACAATGCACAATACTTTGAGACGCGCAAAAAGGTCTGTCACACACAACCTCATTTAATGCCATCCAATCATGGATGAGAACGTGCCATCTTTTTCATCATGACATTTTTCTTCAACCGTCGTCTTTTTCTCTCTCTTATCCCGTTTCTCTCTCCTCTTACCTATAAATTTGAGACTTATCTCTCACTTTTTTATTTACGCTTTCAAAATATCAAGACGAACCTCTGTCAATTTGCAAAGCAAGAACAACCTTCAAAAGTTTCTTCTTCGACCTTCTTCACCTCAAACCAACTAAGGTCGATACACTCTTTCATTTCTTATTCTTCTTTTCTATTATGAAAAACATGTTTGAAGTTTTTAAGAACCTTGTTCTCTTAAAAAACAAGCATTAATGATTATAAACTCAACCTTCTTTTTGGTTATAATCATATTTCATCAAACACATTCAACTTGAAAAACCCTAATCCTTTTTCAAGGATTTTTCAAAGAAAGTTTTTCTTTTTCAAAACTTAAACTATACACATCTCTTGGTCTCACTAATCCTGTTTTGTATTTTTTTCTTACTAAAAACAGATGGCTGCCAAGAATTTAGGCTTCTCAATCAATGAATTATCTTTCAAGGCCAACAATCACGTTGCCTTGTTAGAGATCCCTTCAAACAAAGCCTTCACAAGGAAGCGGCCAACTTCCTCAAACGGTCATCCCTTTATTTTGCTCTTAACCATGAGCCCATCATGGTTAAAGAAGCCCTCCAGCAGTTCTGGTTCACTACTGAAGTGGTGGAACTCGAAGACAAGAATGGCCACCAAGTTGAGAAGATCACCTTCACGTTCAACCGCATGACCATGAACTTCGGAGTCAACACCATGAGGACTGTTCTTTGCCTCCCAAAGGGCCCCTTTGACAGTGAGCCCTCCACTGCCGAGATCATTCAATGTATCGATGCCATTAGCTACCAGTGGCCAATGAACAAGGACTCAAATGCTCCCATGTAGTCCTTGTCGAAGATTGAGAAAAACAGGATGTCAGCAATCTGGCAATACTTGTTTTCTCACTTCATCCAGTCTATGGGTGGAAAGACTGGAGGACAAGACCAAGCCTCCAGCGTCGCCCTGACAATTGGAGTTTCTTCGATTCAGCGTTGCAATATAAACTATGCTGCAGTYATTTTCGATGACCTGGTGCAAAAACTGAACAAGCGTCAGCAAGAAAAGGTGGTACCATACACCAGGTTCCTATCCATGGTGTTTGCGAAGATATTTGTATAAAAATATTCCAATGAAGGAAACCTCCAGATGTGTAGGTTTGGATCCAGGATTTTGGATCACAAGCTGAGGGAAGGGGACGTTGCACTTTCTTCTATAGTGCCCTTTTCTCCCTCCTCTCCTCCGGTGGTGAAGACAAAGGAAACCCCCTGTGTCTAGCCCAGCCACCAAAACCTCCTCAAAACGACCCTCTCAACCAACTCTTGGTTCTCCTCAGAGAGCCAAGAAGGCCAAAAAGGGGATAGCAACATCTCTGGCTGATACCTCTCAAAAGGTTTCAACTATTCAAACTAGCCTTAACCCCGAAGCAATTGTAGCTAACCCTCCTAGCTCTTCAGTGATCTCTCCAACCACTGTCGTATCAGTGGCACCTACCCCAACCGCCTCAGTGACCCAAATCACTGAAGGTGTGAATATCAGCGCCGCCACCGCTGAACACCCACCTGTCTTCTCGGCCGTCTTCTCTTCTCCTCCTTCTTTGTTCGCTACACATGTTTATGACTCATCAGTGAATGTCCCCCTGATGATGAAACACACACCACTGGACCTGAGGTTGCTTCTTTCGAGGCTCCTCAGCATACAGATGCTCATCCTCTCGAGGGCATCATTGAGCAAGCCAGTGTCAATCCTTTGGATGTCACTTATGGCCCCTCAGGTATTCCATTTTCCTACCCTGTCAGTTTTACTAACCTCCAGCTTCTATCTTCTCACTCTCCATCTCTTGAAGGTCCTTCTTTAGCGCCTCAACGTTTGGACGAAGAAGAAGACGAGGACGAAGAAGAAAAGGAGTATGAAGAAGAGGACTACAAAGAAGATGACGAAGATTATGACATGGCCTCTGATGTCAAGCTTCTCCTTCCAGCCGTAGATACCGTCTTCTGCAAGATGAGGTCCAACGCTGCTGGACCATCTGCTGCTCCAGCAATCCTTGAAGCTGAAGCTCCTAGAGCTGAAGCTGAAGCTAAGATTGCCCAAGCAATTCCAACCTCCGGTGAAGCTGCTATAGCTTAGGAAGTTGATGCCATCCCTAGGGATGATGATCTTCCCATCATCTCTACACTTGTTGCTGGTGATGATGATGATGAAGATGATGATGATGACGAACCTGACCTTCCAGACTCCGGCAGTGACCTCGATGGTGATGATGACGATGATGATGAAGATGACTTCACCATTCAGTATCAACGACCAACAATTGCCATCAAAGGAGTCGCCCTTAGGGATTCTGCATCCCAAGGGAAGCAAAGGGAAGAAGTGTCCGCCTCGTCAAAGAACTAGGACCTAAGTCGAAAGACAAAGGTGTCGTTGAAGAAGGGAACTTGAAGGTACTTTTCAAAAACCCTCAACCCTTATTTGAAGACTCTACCTCTCAGGTAGTTGTCACTTTATTATATCAGCTTCATATTCCCTCTACTACCTGCGGTCGACTGGAGTGGGTCCCTGAAAACCTTGTCTCCGGTGCTCCTACCGACCAGCAGATGGCTCAGCTAAAGGAGTCACTCGACCAGACTAGAGTAAAAATCCCTCTTCGTACCTCTAGTGGTGGTGAGTTTGACTTCCTTTAAGAAGCTGAAAGACTCGAGGCGTTAAGGGCTGAAGAAGAGCTAGAGCTTAAGAAGAAGCAGATTGAAAACAACCTAAAGCTGGCCAAGTCACTAGCTGAAAAGATTCTCCCAAAGAGAAAGTCCAAAAAGAAGGTGAACGCTGTCCAAGCTCAAGCTAAGTTACTTTCTCTTACAGAAGCTGAGCACGAGCAAAATCTAAAATTGGCTGAGCGGGACAAGCGCTGGAGCGAAGAAAAGCTGAAAAAGAGAATTAGTCCTCACCCGATCAAGAGCGTCAGCATCAGCAGACAATCCAAAGACGGTAGAACTCTTGTCTCAATGCTCATCACCAGGGAAAATCTCGATGCTGTTATCAAGTACTGTTCCTACCTTGGCCACTATGGATACAGCGAATGGATGGAGATCAAACAAGCCATTCAGCCATCTAAGTCTAGACATAAGCCGATTATCGAAGACATCATCAACGATCTCATCAAAAGGATGTCCAGGTATGTCGTTGTCCCTGATAGGCCATCTCTGAAGAAGGGAGGAAGGAAGAAAAGACTCTCAAGTCCTAATGATGGACCATCCCTAAGGAATGAACATGAAACAAGGTTCTCCTTAGATGAAGTCCTGAAGGAATACGAGAGTATAAACATTTCTATGTTGAATCTTGATCTGCCAGAGAAGGGTTGTTGATCCCAAATCTCTCAATAATACGAAGATTTATGTTATGAATAACCTAAATCTATCGTATTGATGAATAATAGTGAAGAACAACTTAATTAATATTCAAGAGAATTATAAAGCTTCAAAAGATTTCACTATTATTGCTTGAATAATTTAGAAGCGCAAACGATTATAAGAAATATAAAAGCTATTTATACTAGTAATCTATTTTAAGAGATAACTATCTTGGGAAAAGATATCTATAAGATATTCTAGGAAAATATATCTATCTAGAATTATGGAAAGTATCTCAATCTTCTTGGCAAATAGAAATCCAGCTGTCGATGAGCTATCTCCAGCTGTCTTTAAGGAAATGTGTTCAACCAAGAGTCTTTGCGTGTCATCTTGCTTGAATATCCTTGATTGAACTGTTGATAAATCTTCTAAGTGTAGGTTATGGAGATGCATTGTTCATCGCACCTATGGATCTTCATCGCATCTCTGGTTGGTCTTGGACACTTAAGATTTCTTCCTGCTTTTCTTCCATCGGCCCTCTGCACTTCCATACTTGTATATTTTTCATTACTTTTACAATAAAAATGATGGGGTCTAACAAGGGTCCTTATATACCCAACTCTGTGCACTTCAAACCTGAGTTAGGAGTTATATTCCTTGACTATGAAGGTGAAGTAAGATTTCAGAGAATCCTAGATCTGACAGTAAAGTAAGTAAAGGAATTTAAAAAGAGATTTGTAGAAGAAGATGAATAGAAATCGGCCGCCGCTTTCTTTATTGAATGGAAAATACAATCTCTTAAAAACCCTAATCGACTCTCATGTGATGTGTTTGAATATGTGTGTTACAAAGTGTTGATAATTCATCTCACTTCTATTCTATGCCTGTATCACTTCTTATAAAGGCGATATTTACATGATAACTGAATCCTATAAATAAGGTAACTAAATCCTATAAACAAGAAAATAATCATTATCGAAAATGGGATCAACATCATCCTTCAAGATTCTGAAGATAATCGTCAGAGGATAGACCAACCAGATGATAGACCAACCAGAGGATAGACCAACCAGAGGTTAGACCAACCAGAGGTTAGACCAACCAGAGGATAGACCAACCAGATGTTAGACCAACTAGATGATAGACCAACCAGAGGTTAGATCAACCAGAGGATAGACCAACCAGAGGTTAGACCAACCAGAGGGTAGACCAACCAGAGGATAGACCAACCAGAGGTTAGACCAACCAGATGATAGACCAACCATATGATAGACCAACCAAAGGTAAGACCAACCAGAGGTTAGACCAACCATAAGATAGACCAACCATAGGATACACCCACCAGAGGATAGACGTTTTAAGCACAACAACATCTTCAGATCTTCCATCCATACCAACCAGAGAATAATTAGGATCAATTTGATCCTAACAATCTCTCCCAATGTTTTACGAAGCAAGCATCATCATGAAGTGTTCAGGTCTTCTCCTCTCTGCTTTCTTGAGTAAAGCTTTAGTGTGCTTGGTATGGATGGAATTTTCAAGCTCCCCCCTGAATGTAGCTCTATGTTCTTCATTTTCAAGTCTTAGACCAAATCAGATTCAATGTGAATGCAACACCACTGATTGTACAGAATGCAACTTTAATCTGCCTACAACCCAACACATTCTTTGAAGCACAGAATAGTTACTCACCCCCAAAAGTAGCAAATTCATCCAACTAAGGGATAGATAATGTGTGAATTTCTTGACAAAACAATGCAACCAGTCTTATGACAAAGAATCTTTCATCGAACAACAAGTTGAGTAGGAATTCAGCTTTAGAGCTTGATCCAATTGGAGATAACTTGAATAACCAAAGCAAACACCATTGGAATTGAGAACTAGAGAGAAGAATTAACATTAAGCTTTATGGCTTCAAGAAACAGCACGTCAATTCAAAGAAAATTGACAATATTGTTGTTAATGCTTCTAAGGGCAAAACATGAAGGAATATTGCCATATTCATATAGGATTGGTGATTACAAGCAAGTAAATCTTTAGGCTCTTACAGATCCAAATCCATAAAAAGAGACGATGAATGAATACCCAAGATATGGGCGATAATACGTTTAACAAATAGAATGCCAATTGCCTTAGGCTGTGAGTACCATGAACTCCTGCTTAACGCCTACGCGTAGATCTGACAAAATCAAGGTTCAAAAATTCGACTGACTCCAAGAAACTCCATCAAATAAACCAAATTTTTTAATGATCAAAATAGGTTCGTATTCATCCAAGAACAAATCCTTTAAAAGGATAAAACATTTAATAATATGATGAATTGATGAATTTTTGGGTCCAAACTGCAGTCGAACAGGAAGCAGTTCATGAAAGAGTATTGTTCAAGAAAATTGAATCTACTGTAGAAAGATTGAATCGATAGAAGTTAATCAAAATTGCTCTGATACAAATTGTTAATCCCAGATCTGACAGTAGAGTAATGTAAAG